CTCTCCCGGACACGGGCCTCTCCGCGTCTGGAGCGCCCCAAGGCCGGCAAGGGGCTCGGTGCCCCGGGAACGAGGCTCCTCCAGCCCGCAGGTGAGCCCCCGCACAGCGACGGCTTCCCTGGGGCTGCAAAACCCTCTCTCTTCCCCGGGTACCAAGCTGAAGCTGGTGCCGGCTGCCAAGTCCGGGCTTCAGCATCCCAGCAGGGCTTTGCAGCCGGCACAACCTTCTGCTGTTCCCAAATCCACCCCCCGGGACACAGAGATGGAAGAGTAATTCTGCCTCTGCTAGTTGCCTTGTTCAAGGTGGGGAAGCTTGGGGGGACTGGTGCTGCAGCTGGAAGGGAGGCGGGGGAAGGCCTGGGCTGCAGCATGGGACAGGGACAGTGTAGGGAGACCCTGGAGGGAGCACAGGTGGGAGCCCAGGAAATGCACTCGTGCCCCGGGTGCTGTATTAATTAGCACTATGTGGCCTCCCACCAACGTGGGCTAGCAGCCTGTTGGCTTGGAGCCCTCAGCTCAGGTCTTGTGGGGTCGCGGGGGTGCTGGTGCCCGTGGGCCTGGGACGGGCAGCCCGGCTGAGGTGCGGTGTAGCTGCTTTGGAGCGGCAGCCTCTGTGCCTAATGTTTGTCCTCTATAGCTGCTGTCAAGGTTGGGGGTCGCAGACAGCCCTCCCAGAGGCTCTCTACAGCAATTCCTATGCTGGCTTCTCGCTCCCGACTGCGACTGCTGGAAAAAGTGCCTTCCCCAAAGCGCTTCTGCCTCGGTAAGGGTGAATCTGGGCAGAAGCCCCAGAGGCTCCGGTGTCACGGAAGGGGGGAGCTGCTGCCCTGGGGAGAACATTGAGGACTCACTGCTGCAAACTGCTCAATGCTCAAACTGCTGCAGAGTCAGGCTGATCCCGGGGAAAGGACAGGAGGGGGCAGCATGTGGTCGGGCTCAGAGGAGGGGAAGTGAAACACGGAGCCGGAAAGCTAAGCAAAGTCCCTTTCCCTGGAGAGGCACCCAGCAAAAAGCCTGAACAAATCTGGTGCTCGAGCTCATCTGTAGGACAGGGAGCAGCCCCCGTCAGCGCATGTTGCTGCCAGGGCACTCTCTGAGCAGGGGTTGATGCTCTTCACTTTCATTTCCTGGACCCCCTCTTCAGGATCGACTACACAGGAGCTGGTGTGCAATACGACCCAAGAGCTGAAGAAAAACGGTGAGAGCAAAGAATGGCTGGTTGCAGCAGGGTGAGCAGTATGGAGGTGTGGTCCCATGTAGGAGCGGGGAGCTGGAGCTTGCTCCACTGTAGAGAGGAGCCCCTCTGGAGCTTTCCTGGCTCTGGCTGCCAAAGACCTGCTGAAAATCAAGCATCCTGTGAGTGTACCGCGGTGAGGAGAGTCTACGTTTCTGTGTTGGGTTCTGGTGGATTCTCGCCTTGTGTCAGGATGAGCATGGGGAACATGGGCAGCTGCCAAGGGCAGCTGGCAGCTGCTTGTTTGGCAGTGCCGCTCCCCAGCGGGGTCCTCGCTGAGCAGGTGCCTGGGGGTGCTCCGGCCTGCTCTGCAGGCAGGGTGTGCTGCCTTCCCCACGAACTGCAGCTGGGCACCCTGCAGTCCTGGGCCCTGCAGAGGGAGAGGAAGCGAGGAGGCCGTCCCTGCTCTGCTGGGACAGCTCTGCCCTGGGCAGCTGTCTGCCCTCTCTGTGTGAGCAGACCCTGAGCAGGAGCCCAGAGCTGCTGGGAGAAGGTGCTCCTGCACGGCCTAGCTCCCAGCAGCACCTGTACAGGCCAGGCCAGCAGCAGCTGTCGGGCTGGAGGGGCTTGGGGACCTCTGGCTCCTTTGGACAGGTTCTGCCCCTGGTCTGGAGCAGCTCTGTGGCCTGGTTGAAGAGGGGCCGGGAATGGCAGTTACGTTTCTAGAAACTTCTCTTCACTTCACAGATAGGGCTGACCAGACGTGGGTGTGTGTGGGGCCCTCATTTTCCGGCGAGTTGGCCCCTGGCCCAACTCTGGGGTGTGGGGATGCCGTCCCTGCTGAGCAGGTAAGAGTCAACCATGTCGTGGCACCACAGAGCACTGTTTAGCTGGTGGCTTGGGCCAGCTGTGCCAGAGGCAGGAGGTGATGGGACCTGGGGCTGACAATTTCTGGGCTGGCATCTGAGCTGTTTTAGCCTTTCCCTGGGGTTTATACAAGACCTTGTGCATTTGCTGCATGGCTTTACCACCTCTCTGGTGCTCAGGGGCCTGGAGGCTTCTGTCCAGTTTATTTTTTAAGGGGCTTTTGAAAAATGTATACCCCCTGTGGCTTGTGGTGTCACTTTTATACCTTCTGACATGTTGGACATGTCCCCAGGATGGGGTGAGCAGAGCCTGCAGCAAGGTGAGGCTCCAAGGTGTGAAGTCTCCTACCTGCAAAAGACGTTTGTGCATTTGCCAGCAGTTTTAGGGCTCGTTGCTATGTGGCTGTAGCTTGCCAAAGGGATCCTTGTGACCCACAGGCACTGGCAGTTGCTCGCTGACAAGCGAACAGTGGCTCCTTTGCCAGGCACCACTGCTGCGTTGAACACACCCTGGCAGTGGTCTGGCAGGTGCTGGGCTTGGGGTGTTGGTTGGGCTGCACTGCAACAGCGCCAGGCTCCTGATGCAGGGGTGAATGTCAAAACAGGGCCTTGCTCTGATGTGCCAAGGGGGGTGAGCAGGGCCAAGCCTGAGAACTGCTGGGGGGGGGGGTGCTGCCTGCAGAGATGGGCTGTGCTGGGGCTGTGCTGCGGGTCACTGTGTGGGGGTGACCGCCCCTGGCATCACGCTTACACCCTGCCCTTGCCAGTCTGCAGGTGACCAGCTGTTCCAGGAGCTGAAGCATGCAAAGAATGAGCTGGAGCAAATGAAGGGCGGGGGGGGGGGGGGGGTGCTGCCTGCAGAGATGGGCTGTGCTGGGGCTGTGCTGCGGGTCACTGTGTGGGGGTGACCGCCCCTGGCATCACGCTTACACCCTGCCCTTGCCAGTCTGCAGGTGACCAGCTGTTCCAGGAGCTGAAGCATGCAAAGAATGAGCTGGAGCAAATGAAGGGCAAGCTTGGTACGTGGGGCTGGCTGTTTTGGGGGCTGCGGGACACTCGCAATCCAGATGACACCCCCTGCGCTTGTACCTGGAGTCCAGGGCCTGCAGCTCTGTGGGGACGGGGCTGGCTTCTTGCTCGGGGATAGAGCAGGGGCCCAGCTGCTGCCCCAGAGGGTCTGGGGATGAGGTGTTCAGGAGGGGCTGAGCATACACCTACTTGCCTCCCGCCTGCAGCTGAGAAGACGGCCCAGTGTGAAGCCTATTGCCAGATGATCTCCTCCTTGCGGGCTCAGCTCAGAGCAGCAGGTATGTTCCCTCGCTGGGGTGAGCCCTCGCCCAGGAATGCTCCGGTGATCCCTTGTCAGTGTA